AAGCCCAGACAGCAGCTTAAATGTCTAAGTTATTCAGCAACCCTCTGCCCTTCATCATTGTAAATTAATATTAGCTGCTTCAGGCTACCATCTACATTATCAGGATGATGAAGACTAACTCAAGGTGGACATTTCAGCAAGACAATGATCCAAAACACAGCCAAGGAAACTCTTTGAAGCTTTCAGAGAAAGGAAATCAAGCTGTAGAATGGCCCAGCCAATCCCCTGACTTGAACCCAATAGAACATAGAAAATAAAAATCAGATTTGGTAGACGAGACTCACAGAACCATCAAGATTTTTACACTCTGTTGAAGTCTGAAAAACTCACACCTGAGCAAAGCATGTGACTTCATTCTTCATTTGAAAGTCATCTCTAAGCTGCCATCGACAAAAACAAAAAACAAAAAAATGTTTATATAAAGTATTACATACGTTTTAGTAGTTCAGTACTTTCTCCTTGTGTCATGTCATTGTTATGACACATAAATATTTTTTCCCATTTCCCATTGTATTGTTAGGGCTTTTACCAAAAGCTGACAATTCCACACCAACAGGTCCTTTGGAAATAATATTCCCAGAAAAAAATGGGATGTTCAGTACTTATTTCCCCCACTGTACATCTACGAAACTAACTTCTCTAATGACCACCTTAAAAACTAATGCCATTCCAAGGGCCCTAAGTGCAATTTCTGAAAAATTATTCAATTTATGTCTCCATATAAGCTATAAAAAACATGAATTTGCAAAAATGGTCAGGTAACACACATCTATATTGTGTATAAAGCCCTTAGGAATGGCTCGTACAGTACTAGTGTTTGTTGGCATTTTTATATGTAGGCCTCCAACTACTGGCTTCCTTAAACATAATTCTCACAAGATTGTTCTTCTCTATTTTTACGTACGTTGTGGTGTAGAATTGATACTTAATCAACATCATTTCAACTCTTAAATCAACTTTGCTGCAGCTCCAGTGACCCTTGATCCGAACACTGCGGCCAGCTGCTTCCTGCTGTCAGAGGATCTGACTACATTACAGTGCTGTTCTCAGACGTTTAAGCTCCCAGAAAACCCTGAGCGTTTCAACGTCGGAGCAGAGGTTCTGGGCTATGAGGGCTTCAGCTCTGGGCGACACAGTTGGGATGTGGAAGTCAAAAACAACACTTACTGGGTCATTGGAGTGGCCAGTGCATCCATCAGCCGGAAGGGAAAGCATGTGTTGACGCCCGCCGAGGGCTTCTGGACCATCAGGCTACGAAACGGAGAGTATAAAGCCTGCACCGCCCCATGGTCCCCTCTCACTATGACCAAGGAGCCGCAGGTGGTGAGAGTCGTCTTGGACATGAACAGGTCCAGGGTGACTTTCTATGACCTACGGGAGAGGACGCCTCTGTTCACCTATACAGACATCATCACGCCCAGAGCATTCCCGTACTTTTGCAGCGCGTGTAAGGAGTACCCACTGAAAGTGCTGCCGGCTTGGATCTCCATTAAATCAGAATGATACGCAGAACGTCTTACGAGCTAATAGTATAGAAATCTTCAGCTTCACATGGTTTGGGTTTTTAACACTTCACCAAAACGGTCAGGAAGGGTCTAAATCACGTGAAATTCTTTGTCATAACAGAATAAAGGTGTGTTGCAGCATACTGTATCAGTGATAACAATAATACAATCAAGTCCATATAATAATACAAGTCCTCATGCAGTCACTAATTTTTTCCCCTTACAAATAATTTCCTTAGGGTCCACTAAAATCTGAATTTCCAATGTTAATTTTGTTTGCACACATTGCTAGTCTTGTGGACAGTTATTGTCTTTTAATTGTTAGTCTAATGGACAATTAATCCACGCAAGTTAATCCACTGAAAAATGCTGTTTGTTTTGATAATCTTCAATTAAAATCTGAACATCTGTTCCACTCTAAAATTGCCGGCCATCTCTGATGATGACAGTTTGATGGCTTGGGTGAAATATGTTTAGCCACAGCCCCTTAAACCCTTCTCTGATCAATGTGAGGAGAGTTTACTCCTACTGACTTGGTATATTATTTTGGTCCATTAGAAACTTGAAAAAATATAAACCATGAAAAAGCAAAATCGCATCAAGAACAAGAAGCAACATTGTTACAATTTGAATCCCTGTTTTGGAATAAAACAATAGATCTATAGGTAAGAAAGCTTGGAAAGGAACACGAGATCTACAGGTGTAAAAAGCTCAAAATAAAACAATAGATCTACAGGTGTGAAAGCACCCCTAAAGTGGCTTGTATCTAACTCAATTTCCTTACCTTATTTAATGGATCATAAATATACAAATTATTTAATGTCTTTGCTCAGTCAAATCGAATCAGACCTACTCCAATCAGATAACCGATGCAGCAGACACTACACAGAGGCAATTGTCTTGGATTAATGTTATTGCTGTGACAGTCATTGGAATTTTGGAAGTCAATCCGAGAGTGAATTCATTTAAATTCTGAAGTTTCTTACTTCTGATAAACACAAAAGATGATATTTTGAAAAAAAAAAAAATGTAAACCTGCAACTATAGAATTTGTTTTTCCTACTATTGAAGTCAATAGTTTTTTTTTTAATAGGTTTTAATCAATCTTTAAAATATCTTTTTTTGTGTTTCACTCTTGTCCATGTGCACTCTCTTTATACATTTCTTTCTTTGGTTGAACACAAAAAGATATTTTGAAGAATGTTGGTTGATGGTTGGTTGACTCATTAACTTCTATAACAGGAAGAAACTTCCACCAGGAATTTTCAAAATGTCTTCTATTGTGTTCAACAGAAGAAAGAAAATCAAATAGGTTTTGAACAAGTAAAGGGAATAATAAATTAATAAATAAATCTTTGGGTGAACTAAGGCACTCTTTTTTTATTCAATAAAAAAAGTTTAATGCATCTTTGTGCATGATTTCTACTGTCTGACATTTGCAAATACATTTAAAACGAGTTTGTAGGACTCTTTCAGACCTATTAATGCATTTCATGTCAGTTATTCAATTTTATAATAATCAGTTTAGTGGTATTTACACAAATTAACATTTTTTTAGCCTTTATTATGCTGAAAGGTTATGATAGTGTAGGAAGAGGAACAGTAAACATAGTAAAGGTAAGAATTTTCTTCATTTGAGTTCATTTTCTTAAATGCCAAAATAAGATGTTTTCTTGCGTACTGTTGGTACTTTAGATTGTATTGATAATTTAGGAAATGAGCTGCTGTGTTGGTCTCTTTTACTTCAATATTATTTTCAGCATAACTTTTTCACATTTATATTTGATCTAGGAGTTCTCTATCTGCCCTGTTTGCCCCATATCGTATGGTTTGTTTCCAATTAGCATTACTGTAGTTTACAGTACTTTTTATTGTCCTACAACTGTCAGAAGTACCAATAAAGTGAACTCTACTTTTTAGAGACCCTTTCATAAGAGTACCTAGCATAACAGTATGGTAGTGAAGAGTGGAGCTAGACTCTGCTGATTGTTTTACAGTGAATCACCATTTGTGCGTGCAAAAAGACAAAAGCAACAAGCACCATTTTTAAATACATAGCCGAAAAAATGAACATGACACTATAATAACACAATAACTATTGTTTATGGGGCTGTTCACATCACACCTAAATCTGTAGTAATATAAATCTATAATAAACTTGACTTTCTTGAGTTTGTTGAGCGAGAATGACGTCAATCGCAACCTTACTCAGTACACCACACCTGCGGAGTAAGGGTTACTGTTGGGAGTGGAAAAGCAAGCTTGATCAAAGTGACCTATACATAATCTCACTCTACTGTACCGCTCAATGGAAACAAGGCATTATTTAAAAAGGTCATGATCTGGCTTTTTCAAAAAATATATTTTTTTAATGTTGTAACGTATGGGTGTTTCCTAGTACTGGGTTGCAGATGGAAGGGCATCCACTGTGTAAAACATTTGCTGGATAAGTTGGTGGTTCATTCCGCTGGGTCGACCCCTGATTAATAAAAAATCCCTAGTAGCAAAGAATTCTGGCCCAGATTTAGCAAAAAGCTGGCACAGCAGGCATTCATCCGGCACTGGCATACAGCATGTGGGCCAAACATGACCCGGGTTTGGCAGAGGTGGCACCGTTTTTAAGGCGGCACACAAGATTTGGGCCAGATGAAAAACGTAGTATTTGGCCCAGATTTAAAAATTTGATAAGTGGGCCATGTGAGTTTGGCCAGTCTTGACCCACATTTAAGATACACTAAAATCATTTTTGAGTAAAGAAAAGAAATTCTACCAATCAGGTCACTATGAGAAAAAACATGCCCATAGTGTGCCTAAAGCGCATCACTCCATGGGTTTATCAATTTCATTGCAATCGTGACACACCAACCTATCTGGCCCAGTTCAGGCCCAGTTATGAGTTATTAACTTGGCTGAGACTTGGCCCAGATATGGTCTGTGTTTGGCCCTTGTCTGGAAGCCAGATTTGGTCCAGTCATGTACCGTAATTCACTGCGGCATGTGGGCCAAGCAAAACCTGATTGTGTGGGCCAGAGCTGGGCCAGAGATATTTTGCTATGTGGGAACTAAGCTAAAAAAAAAAGAATGAATGAATGAATGTCCTGTTTTGGGTCCTTCTAACCTGAACACACAGTTTGAATGGGTGTAGCAGATTGAAGACTTGAAAGTAAATGCCCCCATTGCGATTGGCTGTCAGTTTGCATATTTAACCCTTTTTTTTAAATTCCAAAGCACAGCAATGTCTATAAATCCAAGTTTAAAAAACATGAATAATCAGTTTATATCAAATGATCTGTAATCTCATAGCAGTAATGACCACAAAGTGCACTTATTATTTTTATTTTTCAGTGTGAACGCACTACTTGCATTTTTTACACTACAAAATGGTGTAGAATAGTGCATGAGTATGTGATTTGGGATGCACCTTTAGTAAAAAAAAAAAAAAATTCAACAAAAATTCAGTATAAAGGCCAAGAAATTAAATCCAGAAGAGAAGAATTTGGAATAAAAATGTTTATTCATTTAATCATTCAGATCTATATTAATACAATTTACTGGGTTTTGTTTTCCAAAAACTTCTTTGTTCAGGATGAAGTGTCAGGCCACATTCATCTTGCCATATCACACTTGGATAAAGCTCATGTAGTAAAAAACTAAGGCACTTCGCTGTTCACAAAGACACTTTGTATCTTTCAGCTTTCTAAAAATCACTTTGGAGTTAGGCATTTTAATAACGTTCACTTAGTAAAAACTCACGTCTGTTAACATACACTCATCATCATCTTTTCAGGCTCAAAACCTTTCAACTAGCTGATTTGTAGTGGTTTCTTTAGTGTCTTTAGTGTTATATCCTAATGGAGTTTAATCTTTCATCCTAATGGCTTTAGTGTTTGGGTATTTGTTTTACTTATGTTGGGAGTGCACATTGTATTCTGCTGCCATCAAATCAAAATATTGCATTAAAATAATAATTCAGTCAAACTGCCTATTGCATATTGGGTAAATGGTTTGCCCTTTTTAAGACAGCTTATGATTTCTAGTAGGCTACCGAATCAAAGACATCTCATCAGATGCAATATTATTCTTTTAAACAATGGTAATGTCTAAATACTAGCTTAACAAATCAGTGTGGTTTCTGTTGCATTGTGGTAACACTGTGTGTATGTGTTCACAGATTAGGAGAAGATCAGGTAGTTTCAAACTAACTTCTCTTCTCTGTCTAAAGGGAAATCCTGCCTTCTTCAAATGCATTGTACAGCTCCTCGTTGACAAGTTCGTAACGCCCTGCTCTGGAGTTTAGGAAGTAGATCTGGTCAGTTGTGAGCCGTGGATCATATCCTTCCCTTTGCAGTCTGGTCTTCTGGATTTTAAACGTTCCTGTAAACGAGCAAGAGTAGGAAATGTAAATAGGCTTGTTTTTGCTACAGAAAAAAAAACACAATTTTAACTTTTAATCTCATATTTCTAACCTCCCTTTCCTTCAAGATTTAATCTTTTTCTAGTTTTAACACTACTTCTAACTTTCTAGAACTATTTATTTATTTATTTTTTTTAGAATTGTGAGTTCCAATAAAACAAAATCACAACTTTTTGGTCTGAACTGCAAGAAAACTGAAAGTACAAGAAAAACACTCACAAAAAGTCAGAAATCTGAGATAAACTAAGAACTGTAAAATGCAAAATCAGAATAATCGAACCTGAAATCAGAATGGTTTACAATCATGACATATTCAGAATTATAAAGTATAAACGCAAACTCAGAACTCAGTATTATAAACTAAGAATTACAAAATCTGAGCTTAGTATTGTGAGAGTCAGATTTGCAAATATATCAGAATTTTAAAATCTAGACTTGAAAATATCACATTTAACCCTTGTGAATTGTTCAAAAGTACTGCCTTGACGTTATGTTCAGGATAAAAAGTGTGAAGTTAAAGTGAAAGTTCATCTTCATGCATTTTTGTGTGAATTATTTAATTTATCCGCATAGTTGTCCAAATTAATGTCCATATTAGTGTTTTATTACAGACACGCACCCATACAGGAGAATTTAGCAAGGCGCTGTGGTGTTTCTGCCATAGAATGTAAAATAAAATTGCATATGAGCTTTAGACGCTTTCTGGCAGAGCTGTTCACTGTTCCTGTCAGCGATTCGCGAATAATATCCAGCTGCAAACTCAGCAGCCATCAGACCTATGCGTTTCAACAGATTTGTGTTTTACTGTATTTTTTATTTGTCTGTATATTTTTGAATAGAATATATTTAATAGTAGATATTTAGTCAGTCCAGTTTAAATTAGGCATGGGACGATAACCGTTTTCAAAGTATACAGCTGTTTGGAAAAGTCAAGGTTTCAAAACCGCCAAAAATTTCTGTAATACCATTCCTAAGGTATGTGTAAGATTTTTTATTTACGTTTCTTAGGACAAGAGTATCTTCAGCAGAAAAGATATTTATAGATGCCATTTAAAATTTTAAAGAAATCTGTGTTTTTGAACCTAATGAAGACAGCAGAAGTCTTATTTAGCAGAATAATTATTTAGTCTGACATGTTTAATGCTCCAAAATATTTCTAAATGTTTCTCAAAATAAAATATATTGTGTTCCAAGGGGAAAAAAGTTGTTGCTTTTTTACCCTGACATTTAAAAAGAATATATTTTAGAGCATTAATCACAATACCGTGAAATCGTGAAAACATTATATTTTTATCCAAGGTTATCATACCGTGAGAATCTTATACCGGCCCATGTCTATTTTAAAGCAGAAGCTGGTCTTTTGAAATCTCACTGTTGACCTGTGGTTCTCTTTGAATCTGTGTATGTTTAAAATAATAATAATAAAGAAAAAATTGTAATAATATTAAAATATACATATACTGGCAATCAAAATTAGAGCACAATTTATAAATAACTGAACAATTCTGAAATAATGTCATCGTCACTGCTCAACAGTTGAAAGAGTTTTTTAACCCAAATATACCATGCTATCAGAACAACTTTTCCCTATAATAACTAAGATTTAAAAATAAAAATAATTAAGATTTATAAAAAAAAACAACAAAAAAAAAAACAACAACATTATTTTGCAGAAAACACACTAATCAAAATTTGAGAACACTTTTAGATAACACCCAGTTATTGGCGTTAATCTGGCACCTGGTACTAATTTCCTTGGTTATCTGTCAACTTCTGTTTAACTGGCAGTCTAACTTCCAGTTTCATTGACTCTGCAAGATTGTGATCATTCTAAAGTGACTGAAAGCCTCCTGCAGCAGGTTGTCCAGATGAAGGCCAAAGGGATGATGATCAGCTATAGCAAGACAAGGTGGTCGTTCCAAATCTGTGATTTCAAGAATATTGAAACTTTACAACATCACAAACTCATTCAAGTCCCCCAAGAAGGTTGGTTGTCCACGGAAGACAAATACAAGAGAGGACAGGATACTGTGAAGGATATTAATTGGGCAACACTTTACAATAAGGTTCATTAATTAATGGATTTACTAACATGAACTAATCATGAACAACACATGTACAGCATTTATTAATCATAATTGAACATTTACTAATGCATTAATAACATCCAAATCCATACTTGTTAACATTAGTTAATGCACCATGAACATGAACTAACAATGAACTACTGTATTTTCATTAACTAACGTTAACTAACATGAACAAATACAGTAGTAAATGTATTGTTCATTGTTTGTTCATGTTAGTAAATGCATTAGTTAACA